AGAAAAGGAAGAAGAGAGATATTTAAAGTAGAATACCTCAAAGGCAGTGAACCATATAACTTTATCTATGAGGAGAAATACACGCAATACACACTTGTAGTATGAACTGTATACGATAATATACACAAATTAACCCTGTGTATACATCACTTGAGACATACTTAAGGAATGTGTATGTCTTTTCTCTTATCAGTATAATAACGTGAATTATATGAGTATGGTGGGGTAGATTATGTTGTATAATGAAGAAGGAAGGAGGAAGGAAGAAAGAAGAAGAAAGAAGAAGAAAGAAGAAAGAAGAAAGAAGAAGGAAGAAAGAAGGAAGAAAGAAAGAAGAAAAGAGAAGAAGAAGAAAGGAGAAGAAGAATAAGAAAAAGAAAAAGGTGTTCCAGTTTGAGACACGCTTATGTGAAAACACCTTTGTGAATCTTAAGTAGAGAGAGAGAGAGAGAGAGAGAGGCAGGACAACACATACCAAGCGACCACCTCCCCCCCTCCTCCGCCTCCTTCCTTCCCTCTTGTTGTGGAGTGAGATGGTTACTCTTGTGTCCTCACCTCTCCTCCTCGTCAGCATTCACTAATTGATTAATCCATTAATAGCTCTACTATCTATCCATCCATCCACCTATCCTACCTACCTAATCCCCCTCCTCTCTCTCTTTCTTTCTTTCTTTCTTTCAATCATTCAGTCTCTCTCTCTCTCTCTCTCTCTTTCACTCACTTGTATGGATTATCCTGGTTGATAATCCTCACATAACACGTCGGTATTTCATCCTTGTGGGGGAGGAGGGGGGGGTGGGTAGCAGAGGGCTGTGGTAGGGTGTGTGGTAGAGTGTAGCAAGGGATGTAGCAGGTAGAGGGACGTGTGGCAGAGGAGGCCGACGATGTATCTCCTAACAGGGAGGGGCCTTGGGTGATGTGTTCAGACATGTTTCGGTTTGTGACTCATTGGCCTGGGTGTCTCACCCAGTGGCCTGGGTGTCTACTGAGTGTGGCCTGGAGTGTCTACTGAGTGGCCTGGGTGTCTACTGAATGGCCTGGGTGTCTACCTGGATGGCCTGGGTGTCTACTGGAGTGGCCTGGGTGTCTACTGAGTGGCCTGGGTGTCTACTGAGTGTGGCCTGGGTGTCTACTGAATGGCCTGGGTGTCTACTGGGCCTGGTGTCTACTGAGTGGCCTGGGTGTCTACTGAGTGGCCTTGGTGTCTACTGAATGGCCTGGGTGTCTACTGAATAGCCTGGCTGTCTACTGAGTAGCCTGGGTGTCTACTGAGTAGCCTGGGTGTCTACTGAGTGGCCTGGGTGTCTACTGAGTGGCCTGGGTGTCCACTGAATGGCCTGAGTGTCTACTGAATGGCCTGGGTGTCTACTGAATGGCCTGGGTGTCTACTGGGTGGCCTGGGTGTCTACTGTGAGTTGGCCTGGGTGTCTACTGAATGGCCTGGCTGTCTACTGAGTGGCCTGGCTGTCTACTGAGTGGCCTGGGTGTCTACTGAGTGGCCCGGCTGTCTGCTGAGTGGGCTGACATTTTTGTTAGGGTCGTTAAGTGAATAAATACCCAGTAGGAGGGAGGGAAGGAGGGAGGAAGGGAAGGAAGGAGGGAGGGAGAAAGGGAAGGAGGGAGAAAGGGAGGGAAGGAGGGAGAAAGGGAGGGAGGGAAGCATGCTGGAGTGGCTGTAACAGAACTATTAGATAGTGATGATAAGGGTCAGCTGTCTACTCGCTAATAATGATGACGATAGTGGTGAAAATGGTGACGATAGTGATGAAAATGGTGGTGACGATAGTGGTGATAATGGTGACGAGTAGTGATAATGGTGGTGACGATGGTGGTGATAATGGTGACGATGGTGGTGATAATGGTGATAGTGTAATATATAATATCAGAGTCTTATGTAAACATCTCAGTAATTCAAGTTGTCTTAAATCACATCCTTACTCACCAACACCATACACAACACCATCACAAACATACCATTACTATCACCAACACTATCACCTTCAACACCATCACCACAATATTATTACCATCATCATAACCCACATCATCACCACCACACCATCACCACCACATCATCACCACCACACCAACACCATTACCATCATCACCATTACACAAACACATCATCACCACCACACCATCACCACCACACCATCTACCTGTACACCCCTTGTCGACAGCTTGTGACACACAGAACGGGGTGTGTGGGGGGGAGGGAGTAAAGGCTTAACCACCTCGTTCACTCTTAATGACTGTTTATAATATTGATGCAACACCTGTGGTCTGTGAGGTAAGGGTGAAGCTTAAAGAGAGGATCATGTATGTATAATAGGTACACACACACACACACACACACACACACACACACACACACACACACATCAAACTTGTCTACATCCGCAAAAGGTTTCAGACGTGAAGGTTAGCGTGCAATAGAAGAGGAGGAGGAGGAGGGAAAGAAGGAGAGGAAGGAAACAGGAGAAGAAGGAAGATAAAGAGAAGGAGGAGGAAGGGGAGGAGGAGGAGGAAGGTGTGGTCTCAGGTGTTTAGATAATTAACTACCTGTGGTATGACGTGGGCTGTAGTTGGTGTAGTTTAGAAGACACTGTGGTTTTAGTTCCGGTCAGGTGTGGTTACCGAGGGCCGGGGGGAGGGGGGAAGGGGAGGGGAGGGGAGGAGGAAGGAAAGAAGTGAGTGAGGGAGGAAAGGAGTAAGGGAGGTAGGGAGGAAGGGGTCAGTCAGGAAGAAAGGGAGGGAGGGAGAGGATGAAATGGAGGAATAGGGAGAGGAAAAGAGGTAGGGAACATGATATGAATATTTAATAATACGGAGAAATAAACTGGAAGGGGGGAGGTAATCTTCACGTGACCCGGATATCCCAGAGCCGATGTTTAATTCCCCACTTACAGACGTCAACGGAAATCGAAGGATATATATATTTTTGTTTTTCATATTTCCGACATTAAATTCATGAACTACCGATAAATTCAAGTCATTAATATTCTATGGATAAAATTGAGAAGTGTTGGTTTAGGTTAGGTTAGGTACGGCCGAATACTTACAAATTACTCTAAGCCGTTGTGGTGTTCTGGCGTCACTTAGTCCGTCACTCAACACTGATTCTTCCTGCCACACTGAGCTCTACGTGGCGCCAATACCTCACCCTGTTACACACACACACACAACAACTGAACAACACAACTACAGCTATTTTTACTTGTTTGTAATTACTATGATAATAATTCTATCTTGGTTTCAATTGTGACTTAATTATAGAATCTTGTTTCCATGACTGAACCACTGAACCTTATGATAGGTTTATGTCTTCTATAATTGTCTATAATTCCAAATGTTGATATATTTCGGTTGTATGTTATTTTTTGGGAGGGCAATGTTTAGTAATTTAGTATTTAGGTTTATTTAGGTCCTTTGGTTAGTTTAATATATTCAGTACATTTATTTGTCATATTTTATTTTCATGTGAGATAATTGTTTTGATGTGTCGAACGATTGTCTGGAGAAATATAATGACATTAGTGAAGCTGTTTTGGGTTCTCTTACACTGTCGGGGTGATGGTGGCGTCTGGTAACTGAGTGTCCTGATGTTTCTCTTGTTTCTGGCTGAGAAATATTTTAAATGTTGCATTACTTGTAGCATTGTTTGTTTGTTTCATTCGACGTTATACTCGTATACAGTACATACAGACTTTGTATAGTTATAATCGAAAATTACATTATCAACTTCTTCAATTATAACTGGTATATAATATAATATAATATAATATAAAACAAAGAAGTCTGTCTGTGTGTCCGCACGAGAATCTCGGAAACTACTTTACAGATCTGTAGTGATGATGGATGATGTTATATGTAGTGATGATGGATGATGTTATATGTAGTGATGATGGATGGTGTTATATGTAGTGATGATGGATGATGTTATATGTAGTGATGACCGTTGTAGTGAAAAACATGGTGGTATTGTAGTGATGATGTTAATGTCATGTTGTAGTGATGATGTTACTGTAGTGTTGTAGTGATGTTATGGTAGTGTTGTAGTGATGATGTTAATGTCATGTTGTAGTGGATGATGTTACTGTAGTAAGAAAGGATGATGTTACCGTAGTGTTGTAGTGATGATGTTACCGTAGTGCTGCAGAATAGATGTTACTGCAGTGTTGTAGTGATGTTATGGTAGTGTTGTAGTGATGATGTTACTGTAGTGTTGTAGTGATGATGTTACTGTAGTGTTGTAGTGATGATGTTAATGTCATGTTGTAGTGATGATGTTACTGTAGTGTTGTAGTGATGTTATGGTAGTGTTGTAGTGGTGATGTTACTGTAGTGTTGTAGTGATGATGTTACTGCAGTGTTGTAGTGATGATGTTAATGTCATGTTGTAGTGATGATGTTACTGCAGTGTTGTAGTGATGTTATGGTAGTGTTGTAGTGATGATGTTACTGTAGTGTTGTAGTGATGATGTTAATGTAGTGTTGTAGTGATGATGTTACTGTACTGTAGTGTTAGTGATAATAAAAGAACAGAAATAAACACCGTCTATCAATGTATTCCCTAGAAGCTCTGTTTGTTGAAGTGATAACATCTGCAGGTAATGAAAGACACTCCTAGACCCGAGGCCTCCACTAGTATAATATATATTGTGTGTGTGTGTGTGTGTGTATGTGTGTGTGTGTATGTGTGTGTGTGTGTGTGTGTGTGTGTGTGTGTGTGTGTGTGTGTGTATGTGTGTGTGTGTGTGTATGTGTGTGTGTGTGTGTGTGTGTGTGTGTGTGTGTGTGTGTGTGTATGTGTGTGTGTGTATGTGTGTGTGTGTGTGTGTGTGTGTTCCGTATGCATTTCCACAGTTTTAAAAATAATATGAAATTTGGTAGGCAGGTGCGGGTGGATGGTCGTACACCATCTCTTGACCCTCCACCCAGAATATAATACTATCATTAATGTGTGGTGACAACAGTTAATTCTGTGTTTATTTCCGTAGGTAAAGATCTGGTTCCAAAACCGTCGGGCACGGGAGAGGAGGGACAGAGAGGCCCGGGCCAAGGGTCTACTGCCCCCCGCCCCGTCCTCTGCCTCACCAGGAGCATCGTCATCCAGCACGGGTGGCCCCCTACCACCCTCCGCCCTGGCGCTCTACCAGTTCACTGCCGCCCTCGCTCCGGGCTCCGCCTCTGCCTTTACGCCCGTGATGCCCCGCCCATTCGGTGAGGCTCCTCCCATCCAGCTGGCTGACTCCGCCTTAGACCCGCCCAGCCACAGTGAGGGTCCGGGTGGAGCTCCGCCCACTCCGCGCTGCGTCGCGGCCTTTGAGTCTGTCAACGACGTGGAGCCGCTCAGCCTTAGCAAGGAGGGCAGGGGGGTGTCGCCCAGGGGCCGCGACGCCCCTGCCCTCCCTTCACCTGGACTCAGCGAGGTGACGACCACGGCGGCGCTGGCCAAGACGTGTGAGGTGAACAGATCCTTCCTTCACCCTCGACAGCCTCTCTCAGCCAGCAACTCATCCGCCTCACCCTGAGTGACCAATCCAATAAATGACTGATATATGAACTTAACAAATAAATGACTGAAATAAATGAAGGAATTCATCAGCAAAAATAAATAAAATTATAAATAAATAATGAAACAAATAAATAAATGAGAAATAAAATTATACTTAGCTATAGTGTTAAGCACAGCACTCTTATAGTGTATAAGTCACACAGTCGTGAAGCAGCCGCCGCCCACCTCACCAACTAATGTGTCAACAGCGGCTCTGCCTTCACCTGTGCTCTGTTAGGGACACAAGAGTTGATGTATTATGGCTCGTAGATTAACAATGAAAACAAATAAGTAATTACCTTTAGCTATTATTGTTGTAGAATCTTGATTTTTTTAATAAATTAGTAAATGAAGAGAAACAAGAATATTAGTATTTTATATATCTGAAAGACCTCATATAGTACATGACATCTAAACTACTGTACACCCAAAGCCATGCAGTACACCCACAACTACAGTACACTCACTACTAATGTACACAGAGCGACAAGTATATACTGTTAATGGTGACACTACATATACTCAAGTTACCCCAGTTTTCATTACACTCCACAGAAAACGGACACCATCATAGAAAACTGTACAGGTCTCTTTTAAAGTTGTAACAGTAAATATTCTTATATATATAACCTTATTTTTCTAAACCGTCATGTAATTCCACAAAAAGTTATGCCATGCAGAGGAAGTTATACTATATACCAGGTATCAACACTGACTCGCTATTTTGACGTGAAATTCCCTTAAAACGCAAAACTAACAAACCAAACCAAACTTAAAATAATCTAACACTATATTTCAGCTCTGTTCAAATTGGTTTGTATTCAGTTTTAAAAGAATTTCACGGTAAAATGACCCTTCCATCTGCGTTGCCATAGGTGCCATATTTACCAGACACTGAAGCTTACGGAGTCCTGCATGGCAAAATATTCATCGTATAAAAATGTATAATATTTCTCTCTTTTGTGTAGTACTGAAAGTTTTTATTATTATTATTATTATTATTATTTCCATGTGTTATTGTTACTCTGACTTCCCAATAACTACAGGAACTTAAAAATAAAACTAAAATAAATGAATGTCACAATATAACCATCTAAATGTCTTCTGATCTACAAACAATCGATATAATTTTTTTTTCGTCTTCCATTTTATTATTAAGGTAAAAATCTTTGTGTATTATGTAAGTTAGTCTAAATAAGTGTAATAATTATAAGTACTGTATATAGATGATTAAAATAGTATAATTATAATTTAGTGATTATTTCAACATTGATGGGGAAATATTATACATATTTATAGGTAACACATAAATGTATATAGTTGAGGATATGTATAATAAGAACATCTATTTTGCAATATAACTTCATGCATTGTAAATTTCCGTGTATAGATGGAGTTAGTGGTTAGTGAAAGAGATTATTGGCTCTATAACTCTACACTATAATCTTGTCTCTATAGTTAGTGGTTAGTGAAAGAGATTATTTACCTCTATAACTCTACACTATAATCTTGTCTCTATAGTTAGTGAAAGAGATTATTTACCTCTATAACTCTACACTATAATCTTGTCTCTATAGTTAGTGGTTAGTGAAAGAGATTATTTACCTCTATAACTCTACACTATAATCTTGTCTCTATAGTTAGTGAAAGAGATTATTTACCTCTATAACTCTACACTATAATCTTGTCTCTATAGTTAGTGGTTAGTGAAAGAGATTATTTACCTCTATAACTCTACACTATAATCTTGTCTCTATAGTTAGTGGTTAGTGAAAGTGATTATTTACCTCTATAACTCTACACTATAATCTTGTCTCTATAGTTAGTGGTTAGTGAAAGAGATTATTTACCTCTATAACTCTACACTATAACCTTGTCTCTATCGTTAGTGGTTAGTGAAAGAGATTATTTACCTCTATAACTCTACACTATAACCTTGTCTCTATAGTTAGTGGTTAGTGAAAGAGATTATTTACCTCTATAACTCTACACTATAACCTTGTCTCTATAGTTAGTGGTTAGTGAAAGAGATTATTTACCTCTATAACTCTACACTATAACCTTGTCTCTATCGTTAGTGGTTAGTGAAAGAGATTATTTACCTCTATAACTCTACACTATAACCTTGTCTCTATAGTTAGTGGTTAGTGAAAGAGATTATTGGCTCTATGAGTTTATTGTCAGAATGTATTTATAACAGAGATAAAGGCAACAAGTCCTGCCTTCTCTACGTCATGTTGGATGAGACATAGAGTGAGGATTACCACACTCCTCACCTCTCACCACTACCCTCACCACTCATGACCCTTTCCACTGAAGCCCCTCACCACTCAGCACTACCCTCACCACTCATGACCCTCGCCATTCATGTCACTCCCCACCACTCAGTATGACCTTCACCTCACCAGTCATCACTAACAGTATAGTCAGGAGACAGTGGTGATGGTGATGGTGGTGGTGGTGATGGTGGTGGTGGTGATGGTGGTAGAGGTTGTCAGACGGACTGTATGTGACACCATCACTACCAACATGACGTGACGCTCTTATTAATAACTGTATTACTGTGTTATAATAACCTGCAAAATGATTCATATAACAATTTTTGGACTGTATCACAATAAGTCCAAAGTCCTCCAGTGTTGTGAGCTAACGACAAGACATGGTGATGCTCGTGTGTGTGTGTGTGTGTGTGTGTGTGTGTTGCTTTGGTTCAAATGGTTTAAGTAGTTGGGTGTTGTTTGTTTAGTCGGTGTTTGTTTTGTGGTCTCGACACAGCACGAGGCAGTTTGTTATGTCGTGAGATGAAAACACTGGAGGAGTGGGTGGGAACAGCTTAACAGCCTTCCTCCATCACTAGATTGTCTGTGCAAAGACGCGCACCAACAGACAGAAACAGACGGTCGTTTTATCAAGTCAGAACAGAAATGTAGTAAACGTCAGGAAGTAAAGGTTATATTACTGAATACATGAACAAATAAAACCCCTAAGTATTTATCTCCACCATTCCCCTCCACCACTACTCTCCACCACTCCTCTCCATCACACTTCACCACCACTCCTCCTCTCCATCACACTTTACCACCATTCCTCTCCATCACACTTCACCACCACTCCTCTCCATCACACTTCACCACCATTCCTCTCCATCACACTTCACCACCACTCCTCTCCATCACACTTCACCACCACTCCTCTCCATCACACTTCACCACCACTCCTCTCCATCACACTTCACCACCACTCCTCTCCATCACACTTCACCACCACTCCTCTCCCTCTTCTTATGCCTTACGTCTTCCTACATCTTAAATTTCAATCTCCACAAAGACTTTCATCTTTACTTTTACTTCAGTGTTAATAGTTGTGGTAATTAGTCTAGCCTGTGTTGACATACAGGTGAGATACCAGGTAATATAGACGTAATTGTAACCCTGATAGTTTATAGGGAGACCATATGTACGTTCCAGTAACTAACATAACCTGACCTGACCTCATCACCTTCACACTCTTAACCACACTAACAAAAGTCATCTGGTATCGACACTGTTTACACTTGTTTACATCGGCACAGAATTACAATCCTGTTTTGACAAGATTAATTAAATGATAAAAGTTTCAACCTACAATACGTAACTTTTTGTTTTAATAAATACATAAGAATGAAACATTTCACATCTTGGGGTGAGTAGTGTTCCTCGCCCATAGTTACCTGCTAGTAAAGGTTCTCTCCTGAAGTAGGTCTATGTTGGTTCTTTACTGAATGGTCTCCGTGTAAGTCCTGGTAGTACTAGGTCACAGTACTAGGGCCTGGTGGTGCTTGGTCACAGTATTACTAGGTCACAGTTTTACTAGGTCCTAGGTCCTGGTGGTGCTTGGTCACAGTATTACTAGGTTACAGTTTTACTAGGTCCTAGGTCCTGGTGGTGCTTGGTCACAGTACTCGTTCCTGGTAGAACCAGGTCCTGGTTGAACCAGGTTTTGGTAGAACTAGGTCCTGGTAGAACTAGGTCCTGGTGGTACTAGGTCCTAACAATAGAATAGAGTGGATGGGTCTGTGATACTCGACTGAGGTATTGTTTGGCTTGAAGACACTCTCGTAGGTCCCCCGCGGGATGGAGGTCGTGCATTGACTGACATACACACAAAAGAAATAAAAAAAGAAAGATCGTAAACCACGGAGGAACAAGGAGGCAGAAGAATAAGGACCAAGAAGAGAAAAATGAGGAATAGAAAGAAATGAAGAGTTAACATAGAATAGTCAGAAAGAAACAAAGGTAGAAAAAATATATAGTAAAAATTGAAGGACAGATACAAATGGCGTAGGATTCAGCAAGACCCTTGAGGCAACCTTCAAGAGTGGCCCTATGATCGTCACTATCAGTCTTCAGAAGATCTTATCATAAATATCTAACAATATATATATATATATATATATATATATATATATATATATATATATATATATATATATATATATATATATATATATATATATATATATACATATATATAAACTATTTACTCTAATAACAATGTTAAAACTTTACAGTGGAGGGATGAGATAAATTTTCTATTAATATAAACTAATATATCTATAATGGCTTAGTATTCTCACAGTCAAAGAAGAAACTCAGAGAAGCGCGAAAAGTTGTCTATGTTTGAAGACTCAAAGATGTCTTGAAACACAAACACGGATACAGTATTTGACAAAATCTCATTCCTCTTTGTGAAAATACAAGACATTATACTCCACTGTATATTGTGGATCAACGTTTTATGTATAAGTATATGACGTATATTAATAAAATAGCCTGTATGTATACCAACTTGAAGCCGAAGATGGCTCTACATTAACACTACAATATTCTACTAACACGCTACAAAAAGTTAAGTATCCTTCCTGGCATTACATCATATTTGTTTATTTTTTTTAGTAAATTGAGTTTTATGAATGCGTGATTATTATACAGTACACAGTAAGTTATCACCTTGTTGGACAATATACACTTTGTATATACGAGAAAATTATATCCTAGACTGACTTAGTTATCAGTCAAACAAATATTCTGAATCGCCTGAAGTTTCTCCCTTCAGCTTATTTCACCTGAATTTTAACCACCCTAACTTTAACTAGATTAGGTTAGGTTAGGTCAGATCTGCGTTAGTGTAGTGTTAGATAGGCGTTAGGTTGGGGTTCGAGTTAGACTAAGTTGACGTTAAGGTGGCTAATCTTCAGGTGATCCAATACTCTTATCAAATATTGTGTTATTAACAAGACTGAAGTAATAACAAGCTGTCGTTGTCCCATATAACAGATCACTACTATAATATACAGTATATTCCTGTCTTGGGGGACACACAGTAATGTCTCGCAAACACACTGAACACCTGTAAGTAACTTGATAAAATAATAATACCTTTCACCATTTTTTTCTGTAATCTTGAAGTATTTTGTAGTCTTCTGTAACAACTATCAATCATGACTTATGTAGATGAAATACAGGTACTCTTGAAACACGTACAGGTACAGTCAAGAGTCCTGTCACCTCTCTTGCTGCTCCGCGAACCCCGAGATTCAGACTCATGAACCCGAAGCAGTAGACACTGATGGATTATTCTCTCCAACGAGGGTTCGGAATCACGAGTCTTGATCTCGGGGTTCGCAGAGCAACAGTAAAGGCGATGGGACTCTTCTTGACTGTGACTGTACGTTGGTGTGTATGTCAACAATAACAGCGTAAACTAGATAATAACATTGTCATTTTATCTTAGGAAGCAATATCAACCACGTCAAGTAACTTCAAAAGTTAAAAAATTCTAAACAATAAAAAAAATACTTATTTCACCCTGAATTATCACCAAAGAGAAAAACTATGTAAGGCAACACACGGATACATAGTCGTATACAGTATACATATGTATATATACTATATATATAGAGAGTATAGTTCAAATTAATACAACAATGGTACATTTTTTACACATAATAACTAAACATTACAAAACAAATATATATAATACAGGAGGCTGCCAGGTGACTCATGTCAGATACAGGAATAGTACAAGAACTACTGATAGTAATAATAGATTGAAGGTTACCGATAGTTAGAATTACTGTAAAGATTAAGAAATATTAATAAGACTGAGACTAGCACTACCAATCCACTACGGTCGTTTTAAGTATTATTGTTGAGACTATGAAGTATAATATAAGTCTTAAAACTTTCTAATTCAAAACTACAATAGTAATAATTATTAATGTTTCCTTTCCTAACATTTGAAGTCAGTTAGGTTCTATAACGGTGTTTATATTTTGACGGTGACTAAGATATCTTGTGTTGTCAAATCCACTTTCCAGTCAGTCACTTCTAAATATTTTAACCCACCTTCAACTAACACTTGTTTCTCTATATAACTGATGTTCATTATAAATTCAGACTCTATAGAATTACAGATGATTTCTATAAGGAATTAGGTGGAATAAGGTTAAATTTACATTAGTCGGGCCTGAATATTGTTTGGTCCATTTTCTGTAGTTACTCGTTGGAGGGGTAACTATATGAAAATGTCACACTGCAACACATGACTTCCTGAAGATGATGTTCCTTTTGTTTCTTAATATACCGTAATATAAGTGTCAAGTATGATCATTTCTGTACTTCTAAGAGCTACAGTTCCTACTTGATGTTCTTGTTATGCAAGTTACAATAAGTTAATGTAACATAATTTGTATCTGTCACTGATTACTGTATTTTGTCATATAGTTGGGGTTCGACTGGCTGCCTTGTGGCATTTCAGATGTTATTTTTTTTAACAAAATACTGTACTTTATTGCTGTATTTTGTCTGTTTAAAATATAATTCATTTTAGCCAAAAGACAGAGTATGTAAAGCCCCGTGTGACATATGACATGACACGACAATTGTTAAGTTCTGTTACATTTAAGTCATCAACTTAATCTTGGTGGACATCAGATTAATCACATCTAACTTATATAACATCAGAGAGGAGAGTGAACAGTGCACGTCATTACATAAACGCTAACTAAAACATACACATGACATAAAAAGAACCTGAGAGTGTTAAGATACAATCAACAACACACACACAAACAGATAAACAACACCACAACACATGTCAAAAAATATAACAGTAAATTTATTTATTTTGTTTTATGAACGTGAAAAACTAAGTCGAGGTTTAGTATTAGTATTATTATCTCGTGAGCTAAAACATCGACTTGAGTAGAAAAATAAACAATGGATAACATACCATGAGAGACTGTCACATAATTCCTGTTATCAGGTAGTTTTCTTTTGTAATAACTTAGACTAGAACAATTATTATTATTATTTTTTAATTATCTTACGCTAACCCTGGCAGATATAACAAGGATTCTTATTAATTAACTTTGGACAGCGTCGTCTTCTTTGATAAGTTGCAGTGCCATACACCTATCAACACCTGGGCAATAATGGGGCGTCAGGTAATTAACAACACCTGGATGATACATTAAGACACGAGGAAAACATAAAAGGTACAGTACAGGTAAAAAAAAATGTCTTAGATAATTTGGATGAAAAAATATATATATATCTGAACACCTAAATCAACGTCTCAGTCCAACACTCGAGGAATTTACTATAAGTGGGTCATATCGGGGGTTCAATGGGCCATGTCATGGGTTTAAAGGGTCATATCAGGGGTTCAAGGGGTCATATCAGGGGTTTAAGGGGTCATATAAGGGATTTAAGGGTCATATTGAGGGAGAGGTTAATGGTATGACCTCGAATCGTTGTCGTCTTCATGGTTAAAGTCAAATTAGGTTAAAGGTTATTTCTGGTTACGTAACGTTAAGTTGAATTAGGTTAGGTTAGGTTACATAAAGTTAAATTAGGTCAGTTATATTAAGTTAGATTAAGGTTAGGTTAGGTTAGGTTAGGTTAGGTTAGGTTAAGTTAAGTTAAGTTAACTTTCTAGGCTACTGAAGACACCAACACGAAGACCAAATGAACTACCGACACTCACACACACCATTGAAGGCTGTGAAGACTGTACTGTACTCTACTACGGATACACATACTGTATTTTGTCTGTACCCCCCCCCCCCTTCCCACTGTAATTAGAGATTTGTAAACTTAACTGAAGCAATAAAAAAAACCACTATATTGATACATCTTTGTTGCTGTACTGACCAAAACCAAAACATAAAACAAAAACATAAACATCCTGTACTTTAGTGACTGATACAGGGCTACAGCAAATACATCCTTCAGTGTACGAAAAAGTATAAATATTAAAAAAAATATATCAAAATTATGTACGAAATCGATGACTATTGTATATCCTCGAGGCAAAGATTGTTAGAAATTGTTTTTATTTCTTTGTTTGTTTGTTTGTCTATTAGATGTAAGAAGGTTATGACGTCAGGTTTGTTTACATTGTTTACGTTCAACAGCTGATGAAGGTAATGCTTGTTTATGACGTAAACTGCTAATGCTTTAAGGCAAAGTTTGTTGTTAGTTGACATGACATAGAAATAAAAAAAAAGGCAAAATTACAGTTACTAACACATATAAACGAGTTACTGTAACATACATAATCCAAATTTTGTACTTTGTGTGAGTTCAAGCTGACGTATTTAGTTATCCATTATGTAACGCTGTATAACCTGTTCTTAAAAAAAAAATAGGTTTATATAAATTACTATAGCCTCCTCACACCTGGCCATATAGTTAACCGTTCACCATTATATTCACCTGTCAATGAAAATTAAGGTGAGTATGTATTGATTGATGTCCTCTCAGGTGTACAATCCAGGTGAGTTCAAAGTACTCTCGGTCTGAGTACTATCGCGTAATGAAAAGATGTTGTGTTAATTAATTTAGGAGTTATATAAAGATGTGTTGTAAATGACGATAGGGCTGTGGTGGTTGTGGTGGTTTGTGGTTGTTGTTGTGGTGGTTTGTCCAGGTATATATATAATCCATTGTCTTTATATAAGTGTAAGTAAAGAGATGACAGTGCCTGACAAGAAGCAGTGACAGTTATATGATGATTGTTAGGACTGGTATAAGTGAACTGTTAAGTGTTATAAGTAAGCTAACACTTTTTTTTACTAACTGGATAAGCATTGTGTTTCTATTTAGTCGACCTTTGTAAGTAGGATTGGTCGAGTGAATGTGATTTCGTATTACATTTTTTTTTCCATTTTAAGTGACTTTTAAGTAATATATGACACTTATAATGACCAGTAGAGAGGGTTGCAGTCCTTGGGTGCCAGTCAGTGTCCAGTTAGTTAGTTAGTTGTGAACTGTTGGTGTTTGTCAGTCAGCGCCTCAGTCACTCAAAGTCATTTTATTGATGGTGTTTATATCTGACTGTATGATTCAATGGGTAGTTATGGCCATAGGTGACCCGTTTGTGGCCAAGGTTTACCACTAGGGTGTGTGTGTGTGTGTGTGTGTGTGTGTGTGTGTGTGTCCTCTATATACACTGCACCGAGTCTTGGTCACCTGTGTAGAGTCTTGGCCACCTGTGTAGAGTCTTGGCCACCTGTGTAGAGTCTTGGCCACCTGTGTAGAGTCTTGGCCACATGTGTAGAGTCTTGGCCACCTGTGTAGAGTCTTGGCCACATGTGTCGCTCTAACACAATTTAATAACCACGAAAACTGTACACACAAAAAAATTAAATGCCTATGACAACCTTGTACACGGTGGACAGCCATTACACACATACACACACACACACACACACACACACACACACACACACGACTAGGTTAGGTGATTGGTTATTGGTGATAAATAACCAGTAATGCTCACAAAGTCTCCTACAACCTGGAAGCTTTTTATAAATATCAAGTGATTAAAAGAGAATCTCCCGCCATTACAAAAACAAAAGACAGTCATTGTTTTAAGATTTAACTGTGAGACGTTGATAATTAATTTTCCGAAGAGAATGACGACCATCTACAACCAGAAGACAACGTCAACCCAACATCTATACCTTTATATGAACATCTGACTGTCAAGAGTACCTGATCCAAAGGGTTTTTAATTGTCGTCATAAAACAAGTGACAGTCACGAGGGTTACTGATGGTCGTCATAAAACAAGTGACAGTCACAAGGGTTACTGATGGTCGTCATAAAACAAGTGACAGTCACAAGGGTTTTTAATTGTCGTCATAAAACAAGTGACAGTCACGAGGGTTACTGATGGTCGTCATAAGTGACACAAGTGACAGTCACGAGGGTTACTGCGTCATAAAACAAGTGACAGTCACGAGGGTTACTGATGGTCGTCATAAAACAAGTGACAGTCACAAGGGTTACTGATGGTCGATATAAAACAAGTGACAGTCAGGTCTCTCATGTTCTTCCCTATCCCTTATGGTACAGCCGATTATGAGAGTCCTGGGAGTAGAGGGAGACGAAGAGAAGGTTATGCATAAGGATCTGCTCGGTGAGGACTGCAGCGAAGTACCAGGCGGGGAAGTACTCGAGAGTGATGAGTCCCAGTAGATTGTAGTTTCTGTCTGTGTAATCCCACGGACATGCGCCATACTGCCGCAACAACATACCTGTAATAGTTACATGTGTTTGGGTCTGTCGTTTAATAATAATGAAAAATAAAATACATATTGAACAACATAAGTAAAGTTAAATTAAGATTAATATTATCATACGTAAAAGTATATTAATGATTATAGTATTCTTAGCAACATTACATCAACAATTATACTCTTTTGTAAGATTATATCCAAATGAGAACTACCAAAACCAATAAAAATAATATCCTCTCCAAAGATCTTATATCAAAATAACTCGACATCACAATACAACTCATTTAGTCAAACAAACTGGAGGGGAACAAACGTCTTACCTGTAGAGAATTCCCACAGGTAAGTCCAAGCGACGTAACAAAGCCCCCGAAGAGGTAAAGGAACAGTGGCGTGGTAGCGACGATAGAACCTCTCCATCACTAGACTCCCCACACCGTAGATGAAGAGTGACCAAACACTCGTACAACCTGAATAATCAAATGAATAACTAAGATGAATGAATAACTAAGAGGTTAAGTAGACAAGTGAATAATTAACTGAATAGAGAGATAATTGAATGTATAAATTATTGAATATATATATATAAATAGATAAATAAACCGTGGAGTTGATAGATAACTGAATAATAAATAATAAGTGAATAAGAAAAATTTGCCCTTATTCTACATTCACACGAGTTATCGAAATGGAAAATCCAGGTGACATGCTGTAGGTGGACCCACAGGTGTGAGCAACACGTGCATGAAGACCACTAAGACACACACACACACACACACACACACGCACGCACACACACGCACGCACACACACACACACACAGCCTCACTTAGTTGTTTCTGTATATAACAATCACAGCCATAGCTTCCACAAAAAGACTGTGTGTGTGTGTGTGTGTGTGTGTCTGTGATTTAGTCACGTTGGCAGTTCCCGGAGTGTCAGGTCGAGATGACAAGACCATCGGCCAGGTGAATTATTGGCAAGTTAATAGTTCCTTTGCATTCTATCCAGGTAGATAATTATAGTGAGTCATTATAATTCTCCAGAACCTAATCTTACAAATATTCCATTAGCTTATCCGTTTTCAATTCAAACTAAAAAAAGTAACCTTTACTCTACCTTGTAACTTCCTACCTTGCTGTACCCTACAGGCTAACTACCTAGCTATAACTTTTACCTGCTACAACTACTACCTATAACTCCTACAGGCACCCTGCTTCTGCCCTACCTACTTTCCTACCTAGCTACAACTTTTCTACCTATAACTTTTCCCTACAACATAACTTTCCCTACTATAACTTTCCCTACCTAGCTATAACACCTAAGCTATAGCTCTTCCTACCAAGTATAACTTTCCTGTAACCACTACATAGCTGCTTTCCCTGAAGCTATAACTTCCCTGGCTCATAACTTTTACTGGCTGTAACCCTACAAGCCATAACCACAAGCTATCACCATGCACCAGCTGCTAACCATACCTGGCTATAACTAAGCTATAACTTTCACCCTGTGCCTTCCTGCTGTGCCTCATAGATCTAAACACAGCTCATGGATCCAAACATCTGGCCTCTTGGTTCAAACATCTAGCTCTTGGATCCAAACATCTGGCCTCTGGATCCAACATCACCTCGCTGAATCAAACATCTGGCCTCATGGATTCAACATCTGGCCTCATGGATCCAAACATCTGGCCTCTTGGATCCTCTGGCCTCTTGGATCCAAACATCTGGCCTCTTGGATCCAAACATCTGGCCTCTGATCCAAACATCGGCCTCATGGATCCAAACATCTGGCCTCATGGATCCAAACATCGCCTCCCGGATCCAACATCTGGCCTCATGGATCCAAACATCTGGCCTCTTGGATCCAAACATCTGGCCTCGTGGATCCAAACATCTGGCCTCATGGATTCAAACATCTGGCCTCATGGATCAAACATCTGGCCTCATGGATCAAACATCTGGCCTCATGGATCCAAACATCGGCCTCATGGATCCAAACAACCTCATGGATCCAAACATCGGCCTCATGGATCCAAACATCTGGCCTCATGGATCCAAACATCTGGCCTCATGGTCCAACATCTATGATACACCTCTGGCTCCTGATTCAGCCTCATGGATCCAAACATCTCCTCTGGATCCAACTCATGATCAAACATCGGCCTCTTGGATTAAACATCTATGGATCAAACCTCCTCTTGGATCCAAACATCTGCTCATGGATCCCATCTGGCCTCTGGATTCAAACATCTGCCTCATGGTCAAAACAGCCTCATGGATCCAAACATCTGGCCTCTTGGATCCAAACATCTGGCCTCATGGATTCAAACATCTGGCCTCATGGATTCAAACATCTGGCCTCATGGATTCAAACATGGCCTCTTGGATCCAAACATCCTCTTGGATTATGTCTTTTGGATCCAAACATCTGGCCTCTTGGATCCAAACATCTGTGAGAGCTTCCAATGACCTAGTAAACAGGTGATCTAATCGAGTATACCCGGCACCTTATGGGTTCTTTTAACAAGGCTACAATATGTGTGTGTTTAATTTCCCTATTATTTCCCTACATCCAATATACATACCAATTTTCCCAGATTTGGTCCCTAACACAGGATTCACGTACTATTTTTCCCTATATTTCTTCCCTAACACAAAAACCATCTACCAATGTTCATATAAAACTTCAGGTGACATTTAATGATGGAAGACATGCAAGAGACACTACAGTACACTGATAAACTAACAAACACCTACTGATAAATTACAAACGAATTAAATCAGTAACAGAAATGTAAACAAAATGAGTTGAAACAAGTTATGACAAATAAATTAATTAACTCATACAACTACTGACAAAAAAAGCAAGTGAATTCAAACAACTAAACAAACAATTTCAAACAAAAACAAGAGAAGGCAAAATGAGGTGGAGGTAGTGGAGGGTGTGTGAATACTTACCGACAAGCGCCCAGTCTCTGTTAACTATGAAGTCCCACACGGCTGTAAAAATCACCTCAATCATAAACCCGTGAAGGCCGTAGATGTAAAACCGGAGCCATAGACCTACTTCAGGCTCCGGTAGTACAGTAACACACAGGGTCATCTTGTTCCTCTTCCTCTCAGTGATAATATTGCTGTTATTGGATATTTACACGGTGGGTTTGGGGGACACGAGTCTTTCTCTCCTCTTGTTGGTCCTTCACGCTACACGTCCTCACTGCTGGAGTTAGACAAGACACTGCCAGGCCCTCACTGCTGGAGTTAGACAAGACACTGCCAGGCCCTCACTGCTGGAGTTAGACAAGACACTGCCAGGCCCTCGCTGCTGGAGTTAGACAAGACACTACCAGGCCCTGCTCTACTGTTTCCAATATCCATCCGTCTTCAGCTAACCCACCAAGCCAAGTCCTCTCTTCTCGACGTCTTAAGTTCTCGCTATTGTTGGTGTTGGATCATTTACGCTCCTCGCTGTTGGAGTCTCTCGTTCACGTTCAGTTGTTGTTGTCGTTCTGCCACTCACTCCTCTTCCAGGTATTCAGTGTTACTCACACTTCCTCACGTTCTACTTTCCACATTCTCATTGTTGGTGTTAGGGTGTGGTTTGTCTATCAGTGTTTTGGTAATTGATTTAAGTCTACCATAAACTTTTTTCTTTTCTTTTTTTTATCGCCGTGGATCTTATTCTGGTTCACCACGAGTGTTCCCAACGCCGTGACTCTCCTGTATCGGTCCTAGTACAAATTTTACCTCACCGCCGGGCTCTTATGATAGTTCCTCCTCCTACCGCTACTATTGATGCTGCTGCTGCTCCTGCTGCTGGCGGATGTCCAACTCTCAGCTTCTCCAAAAGATTCGCCTCCCACACGCCGCTTCTGCCGGGGCTCTCAGGATCCTGCCGTGTTCGAGCGACCCACCATGTATTGCTGCATCGTCTCTTGAACACACACACACACTCGCGCTCTCTCTCTCTCTCTCCCTAGAAAGAGAAGGAGAGATTTTAAAAGTCAAGACATGAATAAAACATCACACAAGGCAGTTCTTAGATGAAACCAGTTCCTGAAACCTGACGGGGATAAGGAGAGACAGAGCATGAAATCTGAGTTCTTGTCCGTGAAAACTATAATGATCTGTTGCACTAGATGACTGGTTAGGTTAGGTTCGGTTACGTTAGGGTGGATTAGGTATGGTTAGGTTAGGATGTGTTGGGTTAGGAAACTATAAAGTAGTAACCAACTTGAGATGAATCGGCATTTAGTCTAATATTGTCTTTGGGTGAATCTGAGAAAACACATCACGGATATATGTAGTTTACCGCCGGACTGTTGGCTGAGTTCCACGGTGCAGTGCCATAAAGGGATAAATCACACGGAAGACCTCCTCCTCCTCCTCCTCCTCACCCTCTCCTCTTCCTTCTCCTCCTCTTTTCTCGCCTCCTCTCCTGTGTCTTGAAAATCCGTTGGTAATCTGATTTCACGATTGTTATTTATACCAGCTTTACCACCACCATCTACCACTACCACCACTTACCATCTTCACCACCATCTACCACAACTCCTCTCACCACCTACCACCATCACTACCACCCCCCCATGACCACAACATCTCCTGACAACCATCTCTCACCTACTATATTAATGGTTGCCCCTCGTGTAACGATGATGGCCGGCCCAAGGGCCACCTTGGCGTGAATTTGTTTAAGGTGTAGAAGCTGTCGTCAACATAACAACCACACCTTAAGTTAACGAGCTGAGTGACCCAATGTCAAGGAATAGTCCGAGAAGACCGGACAACTCGCCAACTGCACTGGCTAACCATTACGCCGGAACACGATCCGTAAATCGATTAACATCCAGGTCCCCAATTACTGCTGGGTAGACAGAGGCAAATGGCGAAAAGAAACTTGCCCATAGTTCACCCTGCCCGGGATCGAACCCTGGTCCACACGCTTGCAAGGTGAACATCCTGACCATTACACCACAGGTCGCCTTCACCTACTACCACTACCAACAACAACAACGATCACTCTACTTACACCACTAACGTCAACAACAACCATCCTCCTTCCTTCACCACCACCACCAACAACAACAACAACCATCCCCCTACCTTCACCACCACCACCACCACCAACAACAACCCCATCCCCTACCTTCACCACCACCACCACCAACAACAACCCATCCCCTACCTTCACCACCACCACCACCAACAACCATCCCCCAACCACCACCACCCCAACCATCCCCTGCCTTCACCACCACCACCAACAACCATCCCCCTTCCTTCACCACCACCACCACTAACAACCATCCCCCTACCGTCACCACCACCACCACCACCAACCTTGACATTAAACTTTCAACCCAAAACTTGAGTCCCAGCACAAACAGCTTAGCAATTTATCCCTCCCTTTAAGCCTGTAGTCTGTAGCCTGCCCTTCCTCTAGAAGCCTGTAACCTGCCCTTCCTCTAGCAGCCTGTGACCTCTCCTACCTCTATCAGCCTGTAACCTGTCATTCCTCTATCAGCCTGTAACCTGTCATTCCTCTAGCAGCCTGTAACCTGTCATTCCTCTAGCAGCCTGTAACCTGTCCTTCCTCTAGCAGCCTGTGACCTCTCCTACCTCTAGCAGCCTGTAACCTGCCCTTCCTCTAGCAGCCTTGCCTGTAACCTGTCCTTCCTCTAGCAGCCTGTAACCAGCCCTTACTTTAACAGCCTGCAACGTCCTCTTACTCCTGTAGGCTGTGAGAAGGTCAAGGACTGGACTTGGAACACTGGAATAGCATCAATTATATCGGGAATATTCCAGGATGAGTGTGTATCTGTGTGTGCGTGTGTGCGCGTGTGTGTGTGCGTGTGTGTGTGTGCGTGTGCGTGTGTGTGTGTGTGTGTGTGTGTGCGTGCGTGTTCGCTGTCTTAGTTTTGGTAATTCATGTACTCTCTCTCTCTCTCTCTCTCTCTCTCTCCGCTCATAATCACAGGTAGAAACTGAGAAACACAGTGGCGGCTCAAAATAGATCTTCACATTATTAATTTAACACAGAATCAGGTTAGAGCATCAACGAACCTCCTTGAGCGTTCACCTGGCTTCACACACACACACACACACACACACACACACACACACACACACACACACACACACACACACACACACACACACACACACACACACACACACACACACACACACACACACACACACACAGACAAACAAGCCGTAAATCATAGTTGCTGCCGTTCGTGTTTCTGGTCACGCTAGGATGAAGTCTCCTATGTGGTTGACTGTATGACCGGATGATTGACTTAGTAACTGGTACGACTGTTAACTGGCTGAGTGACATTGCTACAAAGGATGGATGGAAGATACACAGTCAGCTCAACCAGTCAATCGCATAAAGAAACAGACAGTCAGACAGTCATAAACGATTACAATCTGCTGAGAGGTCAACCAGTCAATTTCATAAGATTCTCCCCCTCCCTTCACCACACCTTCCCTCACCTCACCCCTTGCCACCCTCTATCCACCTCACCCCTACCACACCAAGACACAGGTCACGTTCAGAGTCACATTATCAGGAAGTAAAGACTCTGACCTCTCGTGTTACCATTATCTTTGTTTTTATCGACGTGAGACATAACTGCTGACCCCCCCCAACCCCTAAAAAAAACAACAAAAACGTCTAATATCGTCATGTTGAAATTGTGGTCTGAGTAGAATGGGGTCGTGTTTGTGTTTTGTGTTTTGTGTTTTTGTTTTGTAATGTCTTTGTTGTTTTCTTGTTTTTATTGGGGTCTTTTTATTATGTGTTTTGTTGTTGTTGTTGTTTGAAATCAATAGTGAGTCAGAACACGATGGTCATCACGCGAGGTGAGGGTTGATGAAGGCGTCTGTCAGGTGGGTCTGTCAGGTGTGTCTGTCAGGTATGTCTGTTAGGTGTGTCTGTTAGGTGTGTCTGTCAGGTGTGTCTGTTAGGTGTGTCTGTTAGGTGTGTCTGTTAGATGTTTCTGTCAGGTGTGTCTGTTAGGTGTATCTGTCAGGTGTGTCTGTTAGGTGTATCTGTCAGGTGTGTGTCAAACATTGGAATCACTATACTGTATGGTGATCAAATATTCCCTTAGTGATAACAAGCAAAGTTTACACACACACACACACACACACACACACACACACACACACGATTAAATACATGTGTGTGTGTGTGTGTGTATAATTTACTCTTTCGTCTCTGGAGTTTACAGTTAACAGTTATCAGTTTACAGTTAACAGTTATCAGTTTACAGTTAACAGTACCACATGGGCGGGGGGAGAAATGCAACACTCCGGCTGGGAATTTCTCTTATCATTTATTTAAAGGAAACTGTTTGTAGTTTTTGATTGATGTGTTATACGAATTGATTGTCCTAGATGTCGTGTATGAGGTGTGTGTGTGTGTGTGTGTGTATTAGTAATGGTTCCCAGTTGTTAGTACGGGATTAATAGTGTTTCTCAGGTAAGTAACAGCGAGTACATCATTTAATAGTATTGCCCAGGTGACCATAACCGAGATTTAACCACACATATTATGACAAACTGGTTAGGGGGAGAAGATGGGGCTGGTGTGGGGTGATGGGGAGAAGATGGGATGAGGGGAGAAGATGGGGCTGGTGTGGTGATGGGGAGAAGATGGGGCTGGTGGGGAGAAGATGGGGCTGGTGTGGGGTGATGGGGAGAAGATGGGGCTGGTGGGGAGAAGATGGGGCTGGTGTGGGGTGATGGGGAGAAGATGGGACTGGTGGGGAGAAGATGGAACTGGTGTGGGGTGATGGGGAGAAGATGGGAATAGGCTGGAAGGATTTAATTAATTACACCTGTATTCACTAACAATAATCACGTCAGTTATTAATACAGTATAACAGTTTCCATGACTACTCGAATGCACACAGTGTCATTTGATTCAGATACATGTAAATTATCCACCATAAATATCACGAGATTAAAATTATTCACTATAAAAACCAATTTACATAACATATAAATATTCATGTTATTAAAATACGTATATATGAATGATATGTAAATAAATGGATATCTATTCAGAGTTAATCTTTGAAATTTGACAAAGCACGTATCCCCGTATGTAAACATTACCCAACATCCCCGCTATTATCGAGGAATTTTTACTAATATAAACATCTTGTGAGGTTTAGATACACAGCAGTTTATACCGTCAATATTTTCAGTTGGATCAGGCACCAATACCGCCAACAGACCTGGTTGGTATGCACTTTTAGCAGTTATTTCGGGATAAAAATGTCACGAATGTCAGGTAGCATTATGGGGTTTAAATATTCAGGTAAACTAAGCTAGGTGGTGGTAGGGGAAGGGGTGGGGGCTAATCTTCAACTAATCTATTATACCTAACAAAATCTCACTTATTCCTCGGCATAAAGGAACCCCACAACCGACCCCCACAACCATCCCCCACAACACACCCCCACAACCAACCGTGTGATCAGACGTAAACAAACCACTTACACACACACACACACACACACACACACACACAAGGGAACTTTACCTTGTGGTGTGAGAGTTTTTAACACACAGGTTTCCCTCTTGATATATGGTTCCTCTCCGCCAGTCAGCCAGTCAATTATCCAGTCAGTCAACCACCTAACCTTGTCTAGTCTAGCATAATTTAACCTAATCTAACTTAAACTACCCTCACCTAATTTAATTTAAACTTAGCTAACTTAACCTATGCTACCCTAACTTAATCTAACCTGACCCAACTCAACCTTGACATAACATAAGCCAAAAAAATAGACAAGGTTAAAATAAACAAAAAAATCAAATAAAATATGAGTTATATATCTCTTACAACATATAGCATCGTGTGAGTGAGTTTAGTGCTTGACACGGTACAGATGTTGGCTGGAAGCGAGCTAATTAATTTACAGGTAGAGTAGTGTATTACAAGACAGGTAATTAGTT